TTTGTTTTCACAGTACAAATAAAAAGTACAAAATTAAGTCACTTTAAGTTACTTTATCAAGATTATTTTTTTCTAATTTACAAAATTGAGTTAAATAAACCTTCGGATCTCCATTAATCAATTAATTAATTAATCTGCTCTCTTTAATATCAGCCTAATGTGATATTTCCTCCAAAATGACTTTAAATTCATTAAATAATCACTGAATTATTCAAATAGTTGCTAATCATTTTCCTGTTTATGATGAATTGATTAAACCTTTTAATAACACGATTTGTTTTTATGATCAGTTTTATTATATATTAATAATAATATATTATAAAATAATATATATATATTATAAATAATATATATATATTATAAAATAATATATATATATATTATAAAATAATATTTATATTATATTATAAATTTATATTAATATATAATATATATAACATGTTATTATATTATATTTCTCTTTCTTGCTTTAAAATACCCTCAAAGATGACGTCAGCGATTTAATTTGATAGTTCAGGTAGACAGACAGGTTCAGGTAAACAGACAGGTTCAGGTAGACAGACAGGTTCAGGTAGACAGACAGGTTCAGGTAGACAGACAGGTGCAGCTCCTGGCAAAGCAAAAAAAAAAAAAAAAAAAAGAGGGCAACACAGGGTCAGAAACCTACCGGGAACAAAGTGACTGCTGGCAGAACAACCAGGATGGAGCGACACAGACACAGGAGCACGTCTGTCTGTCTGTCTGTCTGTCTGTCTGTCTGTCTGCGTCGGCATAATGAGAAGCACTCAGGGGCTCCCCCCCTCTCCTCTTCACTTCCTTCTCAGTTTCCTTTCATCCAGCTTTCTCATCAGATCCAGTTTCATATTCAACCTGCAGCAGCAGATTTCCTCCAGCGTACGACGACAGTTTCACCGAGACAATAAACGACTCGTCTGCATCGTTAATATCTCCGTGTCTGTCCGTGTAACGTGTCCGGGCTTTATTAGACCTGGTCCATGTTGGCTGTGAGGCTCTTTGTCATTAAAACACCAGATACCTGCAGAACCGTGTATCCTTTCATATTTATTCACTATTCTTAACAACATTGTTTATGAAGTATTAAAATGCATTGATGGAGCGTCCGGTTAGCTCAGTGGGTAGAGCTGGCGACTCATGTACTGAGGCTGAGTCCTTGCTGCAGCGGTGCAGGGTTCGAATCCGACCTGCGGCCCTTTCCTGTCTGTCTGTAGCTGTCACTGTCAATAATTATAAAAAAAAGGCAATAAAAGCCCGCCAAAAACAAACAAACAAACAAAAGCATTAAATGAGCTGCCTGAGGAGGAGGAGGCTCGTTAATGACCATCGAACACTAAACTGTTGGTTTTAAATATCCACCGTCTCCACCAGGTAACTCTCTGTTTCTCTCCAAAACGCTAAAACAAGTCGCTGATCAAGTAAATTTATTCGTGTCAAAGACTAAATAACCTAAAACTGATCAATCAGAGCCGTAATGTCCTCAGTCACCATCGTCTTTCTACATGTCCAAACCTTTCTCCTAAACAACACACTGATCTAATATATGTATGTATGTGATGTTATAATAATGCAGCTGCACTCTGCTCTCCATTCAATATCTGTCACAATCTGAAATCTACAACATAAACTAAAGTATTTCATTAATTAATAAAACATCCATTTAAACCAACATGTTCCTCTCTAAGATAGAGCAACTATATTAAACTGTAATGTGAATTAAATAATATAATTCTACAATACTTTTCTTTGTTTTAATATCAGCCATTAAAAACCTGTATGAGTCGACCAGCACTCAGAATATCAGAATATAGTGTCAGTGATTCAGTGATCAGTATCAGTGATCAGTATCAGTATCAGTGATCAATATCAGTGATCAGGGCTGTGTCTCCTCAGGTGAGCTGGGTTTGAGGTTCAGGGAGCTGCAGTGTTCAGGTGGAGGCTGCGGCTCTGATGAAGGTCTGAACACTTTAAAGCTTTAAAATCTAAAACATTATTTTTACTAATTACTGTGAAAGCTTCAATCATCTGTTCTCTCCCGTTGCCTAGACGACCGGCTCTCGGTGATGTCGTGGCGTTCGGCTGCTTCCTGCTCCATGGCGTCCGCCGTGCTGGAGCGCGCTCAGAAGAGACGAGAGAACTTCTGGGGGAAGAGATGACCCCCCCCCCCCCTCCTGACCCCGACCAGGTCACTGCTGTCGCTATGGAAACCAGCGTGTTGTTTGTTTTTAGTGGATGGATCATTGCTGTACAATTAGTGAGAATAATGTATTTTTATAGATTCATTTAAGTGGAGAGTCGTGTATTTTTATAGCTGCTGATAATGAAATCGTTTGTTTTTACAGTTTTGTAATTAGATGCTTTTATAAATGTAGTAATTATGTAATGTAATTTAATTATGTGTATTTAATGTCGCTGAGATCAAAGTCAAAAAAGGGACCAGAATAAACCGACCTGGAGGACAAACAAATCTCTGGTTTCACACAAACTTCCTGCAGTTACTGAGTTCACTGTTTGTGTTCAGTTTACAGTTTTAATATAATCTAAAATCTCCATAAAAGAAGTCACTGAGTCAGTTTATTAAATGATAGAAAACAAAGGGAGAAGTTTGGGAACCGCCGTTTGAAACACGATGAAAACACTTTGTTGATTGTTGACGTCTCTCCAGAAAACTTGTTTGTTTGATGGAAAGAAAAAGTTGAACCTTGAACTCTCCGTCGCGTTTAAAGTCAGTTTGTTTCCTCTTGAGGGAATGAGGTTGGACGAGTTTACTTAGAGGAAATTGGCTGTGATGTACTCTCTGGATATTTTCCACCTGCTGCTGAACCTCCGGCAGAAAGATCTTCTGGGTATATTCTATAATTAACGGTGAATATCAGGAACTGGGTGCTCAAATCTGACTCTTTTAATCAGATTTATAAAGTCTGCTGGTGCTTCTGAACTGTTTTTAGTTCATTTTCTCATCTGATCGTTAGTCAGACGTGTTTTTAAAAATTTGTTTGCATCCGGAAGGACAGAAACCCAACTGATGAGTGATAAATGGATGTAAACACACTCTATCTACTGTTTGCATCAGTCTTCAGACATTAGTCAGTTATTATTTACATTATAACACTTAATGCACCATAAAACAAAAATTAAGAGAATTTTTGCATTATTTTTAAGATTGCTACATTTATTTATTGATGCTTATTTCTTATAATATAAACAGTTGTAATAAATATATAATTAAACTTATTATTATTATTATCATCATTATGAGAGAGGTTAAGTTTGTACATTTATAAATTAGATAATCATGTGTCTAATGCCTTTTAAGATACAGAATAACTGCCCCAACCATTTAAGGTGTTCTATAATAATAATAATAATAATAATTAGGATGAAAACCAAACTGGTGGCTGTAAATAATTATTTGAGTGTATTAAACTCTAAAACAGGAAAAAATCATCAGGAAAACTCATCTCAGATGCAATATTTACATATTATACAGTTTATCAGCTGTTCTCTACAGTTATTGTTATACATTGAATATAATATGAAATATCCATTAAATATTGTCAGTTTACTCAATGATAGAAAAGTTTGGGAACCAGTGCACCATATCCTGTAGTTCTTCCTTTAAATTACAGAACAGAATACAAATATATTAATATAATTACCTTTTATTAACAAAATAAAAATAATATATGTGTGCGTATATATAGGAAAAATACCAAAAGTAAAATAATGCAGAATTTAAGAATAAAATAAACTATATTATTGGATTATAATTAGTGAAATGTGTAGAATTCCTACTTTATAAACTGCTGGGGAGGTTGTGAATTCCCCTTCAGTATCAATAAAGTCTTATTGGTATAATAACACATCATAATTATATTGATTTATTCTATATTTTTTATATTATTAGTGGAGAGAATATGGTAATAGGTAAATATTTAACTAAAAGAAAATGGAAAAACTCAAATGATCTCATGTTGTTAAATTCCTCTGAGTCTCATTTCAATCAGTTTTATTAAGTCGGGAATTCACAACAAAACTATTTCCCCCTCCGGACTTCTTTCTATGAATATATTAATTTAAAAAACAAACAAACAGGAGCTGATGTCAGAGCTCGCAGTGAAAGAAGAACAAACACGGTGACTTCCTCCGGGCGGAGAGAACCGACTACCTGGCAACGACTCACTCTATACGCACTATTTGAACACCATACAAACACACAGATGGAGTCACCCAGGTATGAACGGGTGAACCAGTGAATTCCCCTCATTACGATGTACAGGCCAGAACAAACAAAGCGAGGCCGAGTGGGCCGGACCCATTTCATCATAATATGAGAAAACAGCACAGAGTGAATGACAAATAATACATTTAATATGTTCAAATCATTAAATACTCTTAAATAATGCTATATATGTGTGTTTTATGTCTTAAATACCAATTAAAAATGTTATTTCTTGGTAATTTGTAGCCTTTATTAACAGTTTTTGTCACCTTTTTAGCTTATCTTTAGCTCATTTTTAGCATAATATATGAAAGTCCTGCTCTAAAGTTTGAATACACACATATAAAGCACAGAGTGAATGACAAATAATACATTTAACTTAGAATTTAAATTTAAAATGTGATTTCTTGGGGCATTTTTTATTTATTTTTTTGTCATATTCTTTGTTCTCCTTGGCTTTAAAAAAAGTTTTATAACGTCGTCCTGCAGGTTTTTATCATTATCAGTCACACAAATATAAAAATGACTCACAAAGTGTTTCAATTTCTTCTTCATGAAAGAAATCGTCAAATAAAATGATCAAATGTGTTTATACTTAAGGTCACATGTGTTATAACGTCTGATTAAATGTCAGAATTAGTTCTCACAGTGTATCAAAGTGTTTTCATCGGGAAAAACTAAATTCAGCACAACAAATAGAGAATAAAATACCCAAAATACAATAAAATATGTCAAATAAACAAATAAAGTTCCCAGATAATAAAAAATAAACAGATCAGTTTCTGTTTCAAATAACGGTAAATGCACTGCGTAATACTGAGAGCATTAGTCAGTGTAATCATAAAGGGATGCAGTGTGCAGAACATCTCTGGTACTAATACATCAATATGACACTTTAATTATAATTTACTTTAATATTTTTAAAGAAATAATCTCTGTGAAAATACTTTTTTGGAATTATCTCAAAACTTCCAGCAGCTCTACCCGATTCTCAGTCACTGCCGTTCATCTGTGTCACTGGTTATTTCCCTTTCATTATTAACTGGGTGTTCCACTTTAAAGAGCTTCTTCCTCGTTAGCACGTTTGACTTGTCTCTTGTGACACACACAGACACCCTGTTTGATGAGTTTATGGAACCAATAAGAAAAAAAAAAGGTGCAGTTTGATGAGAATATGTCGCCACAGACAGGAAACTTCAGTATGAGGAGGCGTTCACGTGTAGCATGTTAATTCTGATTGAGCTAATTCAGAATAAAAACCCTCAAAAATAAATAAATCTACTTTAATTTACAGCAAAAAAGGTCTGAAGGATATCCGCAGCGCCATTTTAAAGTGAGGCCTTTTATCCCATAAGTCTCCAAGGGATTCACACGCCCAACCCGCACACAATAAATTACTAAATTAAATAGAAAGAGGACCCAGCCACTCGATCCTCCACACCAGGAAAAAAAAAAAACTGTCAGGAAAATCCTATCAGGAAAATAGTGATGTTGAGAACCTTGAAGGAAGCTGAAGAAAGACTGGGCGTCGCTGCGCTCACGTTGTGGCCCCACGGGAGCCAACATGACTTCAGTATCATTGATGTAATTGATACCGGTCAAACGGGAGCTCCTCTTCAGTGGCCTGCTCTGTTGTGGAGTCCCCCAGGGGTCTATCCTCGGTCCCTTTTTTTATTTCATAATTATGCGCCTCCCTCTGGGGATATCGTCTGCAGAAACAGTGCTGATATCTACTTCTATGCAGATGATACGCTGCTGTAAAGCCTGATAAAGCCTGCTGTTACATAACTCCCTTGTATTTGCTTATTTCTGTCTCAAATTAACCGCTCAATGCCTGACAGTTTCTTCCAGTTAATAATCAATTAACAGATCAGTTTCTGTTGCAGTCAATAAAAATGTCATAAACATAAACCACACACTCTGCAACTTGCTCTCATTCTCGGGTCGTCAAATACTGACACGAGTGGTGTTCAATTAGTTGCAATCTGCAACTTCCACTAAATCTCACACACTGGTCCTTTAAGAAGAACACACTGCTCGTCACAGATTACAAAAAAGGATTTATTAGTATCTGTTCATATTTGTGTGTACGCACATAGGGAGTTCACCTCGATACAATCGGACTATCCTTGCAGCAGCATCCTTTAGAGGCCATTAGAAGTGCTGCAGTTGAAGGTTTTTAAACTGGATTTTGACGATATCCATATTTATTTAATTATATTTATACATCAAACAAACTTCCACACTTCATTATTGTACCTTGTCGTAATTAAAAGTGTTGCATAATATGATGCAAATACACATCTAGTCTGAGCAGAGTAACTGGTTGAGGAAGTTTATGCTGCAACACAGTGGACTTCACCTGGGAGTTCACACACACACACACACACACACACACACACACACACACACACACACAGACATAAAGAGGATATTATGTCACTGCAGATCACAAAAAAATGCTCTATGAAGCAAATTGATATTAGAGTTCATTGTCCCATGTTGAATGACAGTTAATTTCCTCTTTATGTAAGTGACAGTAAACACACACAGCAGTGACCTGTGTGTGTGTGTGTGTGTGTGTGGGTTTTTTTGGATGGTTACCTGTCCTATATTTCTGCAGAGGGGGCGGAGGGTTGATCTGTATAAAGAGAGAGGCTACAGAGTCGTCTTCACAACAGCATCCACTGACAGGTGAGGACACATGCAGCCAGATTTCACTTCAATGTTTTATTTTATTACAAATTATTTTACTAATAATTTCTGTTTCTGTCTCTCAGGATAAAATAAAACAACTCTCCTCGTTCTGAAAGGATAATTTATCAAACTCGGCAATGAAGCTCGCCACACTCGTCTCTGTGCTCTGTCCAGCCGCCGCCATGCTGGTTCTCCTGCCGCTGCTCCTGATTGGTTGCGGCGAGCAGGTGGCTGCGCTCCCTGTCGACCAGCCGCTCAGCAAGCCACTGCGAGACCCGGAGACGTACCAGGCTGTCCGGAATGTGTCGCAACACGTGAGTGGTCCATTTTTTTTACTTTAAATGTTTCGGTATGTCATATTCTGAATTTAATGCCAGAATGAAAATGTTTATTTTTTAACAGTTACATTTTTATCGTCTTTAATCAGCTGTTGAAAATGTATTCAGATGTTTCTTTAAAGTAAAAGTAGCAACAAAACTCTACAAAAATACTTAAAAACACACTTAAATTATCAAAGTTCTCACTATGCAGCAGATAAGAACCTGATAGTGTTGTTATCACTAAAT